TAATAAGAAAAGAAAGTTTGCTGTTAATTGATTAATCAAGTATTCATATGTACCTAGATTGATTGTCGGTGTTCATGTTATGCATGTGTCTGGCTAGCTGAGTATCAATTTCAGGTCTATGAATTATTCCATGGACTCCCAGGGAAAGACAAAATTTAATGCTAGTATTAATAAATCATATATGCTCAACTATCATAATGACCTCATTTGGATGCAATGTAGAGTTGAAATATATAAATATGAAGGACAGATGTCTCATTTCACGTATCAAACTACAGGTTTTTGTGAGTGGGTGACCTGAGTTTTAGGTTATTGGAATATTATTTATGGCAGATGTCCTTCTCAGTGTATAATGACATTCGTTTTTTTTTTCTTTGACGATTTTATTATCAAATTAGGATAAGGTGTCATGGTATTCAAGGCCATAATCGGGACTTTGGATGAAGGATTTGGGTCTAAATGTTACATGCATTATTAATTATTATTTTTTATTTAGTTGTATAAAATAATACAGAAATTAACCTACGAAAATGGGAGCACTTCTACTATGCTATATAGCATTGGTGCTTTAATATACAACTTGTAGTTGTACCATAACATTAAATGTATAAGTTTAGATGGTACCATAAAGGAATTTGTATCATTATGTTATGATACAACTTTACAACTTGAAGTTGTTCCATCACATAAGGTACAAGTTTACCATAAAAGAATTTGTACAAAAAGTATAGGTACAATCTGAAGTTGTATCATAATGTTAAATGTACAATTTCAAGTTGTGCCATAAAGACAAAAACCTATAGCATCATTGCTATATAGCATTGTAAAATTCATCACGAAAATTGATATTTGAGTTGAACTTCCGATATTATGTGAAAATTGGTAAACCCCAGAGCATCCTGTATCTTTTTCAGTTGCTATGTTTTTTTCTTCCAAATCCCACATACATGAGAATTCGAACCGAAGTCTCACATTTTAACTTCATTATCCAAAAGACGCACATAATATGTTTCAGCGAGTCAGTTGCATATCAAAGTTGGAACCAAATAAATGGCTTCGAGGAGCGAGGTGATAAACTGATAATTAGACATCAAACCTGAAGTTGGTATTAATATGAATGTGTGGGAGGATGAGATTTTCCCATCGTAATTGAGTATTTGACAAATTGTCGGCATCCGAATAATCATCGGACGTGTATTATTGGCCTAATGAACCAACTAAATCACAATTTCAAAGTTCGGATAACAAACTATATTTTCCTCATCTTTTTCGTTCAAGTCACTACGAGATTATAATATAACCGCTATCGACCCAATTCTAATATTAGTTCACCTTCGTGCTCAAGATATTGAGCAACTCGATGAACCCGGGCCAAGTAGCTATCAAATATGTATCCTACATTCCTCCTACATGCAATGCAACTTGCAAATGAAAGCATGATGAGATGAGCTAATAGATTCATGAAACTAAAGTGGCAAGAAGTTTTATATACGTTAACCTTATCTCGCCATTAAAAAAAGGTTAACCTTATCGCGGATTAACACATCTAATTGGGTCACTTATTAAGCCTTCAATTCTTTAAAGATTGACACAACAAGAAGACAAAAGGGAAAATGATGGAAGAATCACCGCTCCATATTTAATTAGCGTCGCTACGCAAAAATACTTTGACACCTAGATATTCTATTTTAATTATATAAATACCCTAAATACCGTCTAGCCATAATAAACTGGGGTGCGGATAGTATAACAACACCCTTATACTAACAACATAATTCATTAAGGGTATAAGAGTAAATTAACCAAAAAATAATAAATAAAATTGAACTGTTATCACACCGACCCATCGTACCATCAATCACGTCCCCCAAGACACTACTCCCGCCGTCCCTTGTCGTCGCCTTCAGGCCGATGCTGAACGTTAGCTCCGGCCAGACGACGCCGAACGAAGACAACCGATCTGCCGCAACCTCCTTCAGCTGGCCGCCTCCGTCGAGGTCAACATACAAGACCGAGGCCTCGACGGCGTCGTAGTGTTCGGACATGACGGAGCCGAAGGTGAGGAGCCAGTCGGCTTCGACGAGGAGCGAGCTGGCCTTGCTGGAGGAGACGGCGGCGGACGTGAGCTTGACACCTGCGATCCCCGCCACGTAGATCGGTGTCAGGTTCGCCGTCACCGCATCCGATATCGGCATCTCTTCTGCCAAAAAATAAACCGACTTGGGAATTCAAAATTCGGCGGGGGTTTCCTCCCCGCAATTCGCCGGGATTGGATCGATCGTCGGGAGAAAAAAGGAAGGGTTTTAGCGCGGCGGATTTTGTGGAGGAAATGGTGGCAGTGAGGGTTTCTTCTTGGACTTGATGCAGGGCGAGGATGGTGGAAGGTCCAATCTTTGAGAAAGGTTGTCTGTAGGGTAGCGGCCAACCGGTGGGCTTGAGCTTTGTCCAAGAAAATGAAATGGTCGAGCCTAAATCCCATATGAAAATTTGAAGAATTGCATCTCGGGTCAATGAAATTGAAAAGCCAATTAATGCAATTTTACTCATTTTAATTTTCATTGCGATAAACCAATTTAGTTCACTTTTAATTGCAATTTGTGAGTACAAGTCAATTTTATAATTTTCCTAATGTAGAGCACAAGTCACTAAAACCAACAAAAAACATAATAAACAAAATCACAAATATTTCTAACACCAAAACCCCCTAGTGTAAACCACAAACGCAATAAAACAACCCACAAAAAACATACCGGAAACCTTCTAGTGCAAACCACAAATTCGCTAAAACATATCAGAAACCCGACAAAGCAAACCATAAATATTTTGAAAAACACACCACAAACCCCCCTAATGCAAACCACAAACACGGTAAAGCAAACAAAAAATGTCCTAATGCAGACCACATATATATTAAAACAAACCAGAAACCTCGCAAAGCAAACCACAAAAGTTTCGAAAGCACACCAGAAACTTCTTAATCCAAACCAGAAACCTCCGAATGCATACCACAAATCTCCTAAAACAAACCACAAACCTCACAAAGCAAACCACAACATTTGCGAAGCACACCAGAAACCTCCTAATGCAAACCACAAACACAGTAAATCAAACCACAAAAAAGCAAACCATAAACGTCCTAATGCAGACCACAAATATATTAAAACAAACCAGAAACCCCTCAATGCAAACCACAAAGTTTTTTAAAGCAAACCAGAAACTTCTCAATGCAAACCACAAACACGATAAAGCAAACCAGAAACTTTTTAATGCAAACCACAAACACGATAAAGCAAACCACAAAAGGCATACGAAAATATGAGAAACCAAACCATAAATCTCACAATGTAGACCATACATCCGGTGGTCGTTGACCGGTCAACGAAGTTCGTTGACCGAACTCCGGTGACCGTCAGTGAGCAGATTCCGACGCCGATAGGCATATTCCGGCCCCGATAACTAGATTCTGACGCCGGTAAGCATATTCCGGCGACAAATAGCATATTCCAGCGACAAAAAAGCATATTCCGGTGACCGGCGACCGGTGGCAGAATTCCGGCGACCAAATTTTTGGGCAGAAAATAAAAAAATATTTTTTTTATTTTTTATTATTTAAACATATTTTTCATAATGACAATTATGCCCCTGTTTTGATTTTACACTAGGTCAACTCATCTAATAAAAAGTCATCACAATCCTAGCTTCCTATTGGTTGGAGACTAGTGTTGTTACAATAACAACACAAAGGGTGTTGTCATAGTAACCGGTCCCAATAAACTGTGGGACTTTTATAATTTTATTGTAGGATAACAATGCCGAGAAAGGATAAAAAAAACATTCATATTCTTTTGTCAAATTGTTTTATGATACAACTTAAACATGTACTTTCATTTGATGGTACAAGTTTAAGTTATAAAGTTGTACCATAACATAAGAGCATAAATTCATTTATGGTACAACCTGGACTTATACATTTAACGTTATGGTACAACTTTAAGTTGTACATTAAAGCACTAAAACTTTATAGCATAGTAGAAGTGCTCACATTGATATGTGAAAGAGTAGTTGTGACATGTGTGCATTCCTTTGTTTTATGTTCTTATTTGTTGGTGTGATAATAAACATTAATAATGGGAGCAGATATTGTTAGTAATTCTATATGATAGTAGGAAAATACAATATAGCGGTAAGATGTAAAAAAAAGTGGTGGAAATATGATAGTAAAAATGGTGTTAGGTAATATGTACTATGTGATATACCATTGTGGTATAATTGAATTCAACTTCACCATCCAAATGATATAAAAATCGATATAATTTTATAGATCAAAAGCGAATTCATTTATTTCGTGCAATCATATTGGAAAAATACGAGAGGTCTATAATTCATAAGAAACATTCAACATTAATCGACAAGACACATTTTGAAGTGAAATGAATTAGTTCTTGTAAGAACTTTGAAGTTAAACGTGCTCAGTGTGGAGCAGTGCAAAAATTAGTGATATCCGAGAAATCATCGTGATGCGTTCAAAAACAAAATCGAGCATAATAGACCTAAAGCGAACAATATGATAAAAAAATCGGGATTTTAGATTAAAAAAACTTATAATCATTATTATTTTGGTATAAAAGAGTGAATAAAATGGAATTTTGACTGTGATCTCTGTGTCACAATTAAGAGGTTGTTTGCTTGTAGGATTTTCATCATGGATTTTGGATAAAAATCCTGCACTTATGGGATTATGCACAAAGTCCATGTTTGGTGTTAAAGTGGTGTTGGATTATGGTGTGTGGGCCCATGTATGTGGGATTCAAAATTCATGGGGTCCATGAATTATAAAATCCCACCTATTTAGTTGAAATTTTCTGGGAGGCTAAAATCCATGATGGTAAATGATGGGTCTATCCTCGTCTCTTTTCAATATTTCCTATATTGAACATTAAAGACACAAATCATTAAGGATACAAATATAAATTCAGCCCATAATTGATAAATCCCATGGACACAAATCCAATATGAAATCCAACAAGCAAACATGCACTTTTTAAAATCCAACACAAATCCAAAGTAACAAAATACCACATAATCCTTCATTCATAAAATCCAATATTTTACAAAAAAAGTTCAAGTTTGGTCACTGGAAATATTTAAATTCATTGATGGTACTTCAGTTTACTGAAATCGTTCACGTTTGGTCACTCTCCGTCCAACTCCATTAACTTTGGCTGATGTGACAGTCAACTCTCAAAATTGACCGTTAACTTAGTGATGTGGCAATTAAGAAATAATAAATAAAATAAAATTTAATTTATTTTAATGTTCAACTCATTTTTACCGCAAAATAAATAAAATAAAAATATTATAATTTTGATTTTGTAATTCATCAACGCCGTCGCCGTCTCCGACCCCTCACCTCACCCCTTCTCAGATAGCCACCGCCGGGCTCTCCACTGCCGCCACTCTCCACATCCTGGGATCCACCGGCCTCATGTCCTTGCTCTACCGCTACCTCCCTCTCCCCGTCGTCCGCGTCGTCCAGCTCTCCCATGGCCTCTCCTTCGCCTTCTCCGCCGTCAAGTACATCCAGTTCAATCAAGATTTCCTCGCCTCCAAAACCACCACAGCAAGGTCCTGGCTCGGCCTCGGCCTCATCCTCGCTCTCTCCGCCCTCATCTTCCTCGTCCTCACCACCGGCTCCGGTTTCGACGACGCCTTCGGCTTCAGCACTTCTAGCGGTGAGACCAGATCTCCCTGTCGGGTCGCGAATCGGATCCAGATCCTCTCCTCAATCCCCGCCGTGCTGAGGGTAACGTGGTGCAGGATCGACACGTTGTTCCCGATCACCGTTGTCTCGCCCACGACCACTCCTGTGGCGTGGTCGAACAGAACCTCCTTCCCGATCCTTGCCGCCGGGTGAATGTCGACGGCAAAAAAGTCAGAGACTCGGGACTGCAGCGCTAGAGCCATCGGCCGCCGGGATTGCATCCACAACTTGTGAGCCACTTGATGTGCCTGAGAAAGAAACCAACATTTTACCCAAACAAAGAACAAAATTGGAGTCCCCGATTTTTATTTTAGGGATTCATTCATACGACAGGGCCAACAATTCGAAGAAAACCCTTGTAATTGAGGAGGCAGTGCGAGACGATTTTTCTACATGCAATTCAATTTGATAATTATAATATTATTTTATGGTAAAAATGAGTTGGACATTAAAATGGATTAAATTTTATTTTATTTATTATTTCTTAATTGCCACGTCACTAAGTTAACGGTCAACTTTGAGAGTTGATTGCCATATCAGTCAAAGTTAACGGAGTTGGACCAAATATGAATGGTTTAAGTAAACTGAAGTACCACCAATAAATTTAAATATTTCGAGTGACAAAACTTTAATGTTTTTTTGTAAACTCAGTGACCAATTATACAATTAACCCAAAACCTTCATTTTCTAAAATCTTATTAGAAGCAAACGAGCTAAGGGTTAAGAAATGAACACTTGTGGTGGAATATAGAATATAGGGCTGAATGGCTGATATGATGTGCCTACAGCCCTACACAGGGGCAGTACCACAAGTTAGTCCAATATTGTGAACCTGCTTTTTCTCCTCCACATGGGAGGGCCATACCTTTCCTTCCCTTTTTTTAGCCCTCCAAAGTCCAAAGTAACAAACAAATGACCCTATTTTTCCAAGAAGCCATCTTTGGCGTTGGAGAAGGAAGGGAAAGGAGGGAATTGTGGTGGTTTGTCAAAAAAATCTAGGCTCTGCTGACTCTCTCGTCTGAGCTGTATTGTGCAATGACCCCGGTTTTACGCGTCAATCCCAAACCATTATTTTGGGATGTAAGTTAGCATAAGAGTCCATACTCCATATACTGATACTGGGTAATGTGAGTTGTACTCATAATTTGTAAATTTATGACGAAAGCTGTACCGGACAAGTTAGCGTCATGCTAATTGTGTATATCGTATCGGCTTGATGATGATAAACGGTTTTTACGGTTAGGTCGACGGTGCGGTTCGATAATCCTTGGTTGTACTTCTTGTATGTGCATATTACACAGACTCTATAAATGAGAAATCACACGCCATTGCCATTATGGTCAAATGTTGGAATGTTTACCGTGAGCGACTCGATACAAATGAGTTAACCTATGGGACGATTGAGTTTACATTTGACAACCTTCTCGGGAGCGACACATTCTGCACGGTAACAAAATGAGAGTTGACAAGGACTAACACAAATTAGTGAGGGTTGTTGGGTCCATCATGCATGAAACAATGATTTCATCCGATATAATTTTTGAAACTCTTTTTTATCTAATTCTCCTATTGCATGATAATCAAATATGTGTGAGATCTGATAACAATAATTAGTGAAGAAGTAAAAGAGACAATGGTACAAAGAGTTGGTTAGTCCTTTCCATGTTAAGAAACTCTCAATTGGATTTTGGCTTATATTCATACAAATCAAACACAAAATCATGAAGTGCTAATGTTGCTTGATTTCATTCCCCCAATTGACTTTTGCTTTCTCCTCCCTCCCTCCCTCCCCCACACACAAACGCTCTTCCCCTTTCTTCTTTCTCTTTTTGCTTTCAAATTATGACGCTCTCCTCTCTTTTCTTCTTTCTCTGGAAAAATGAATTCTTGCAAGGGAGCTCATTTCTTCTTAGTACAATAATCTTGTTTATTGACTAGAAAAAAAAGTTGATTGGAGTGGAAAGCAAACAAACCCCGTTTCTCAAGTATATTTGTTTTTCTTCTCGTTCTCCTTTTGCAATCAGCCAGTCAGGATTACTTGCTAAAAAGGTTCCCTCTTTTCAATTTTTGTCTTTCTTCTCGCCATTACTCTGTTCCCCTTTTGTTCCTTCCCCGGCCCACCCGTCCTTCATCTCTCTCTCTCTCTCTCTCCACAATCTTCTCCTACCTCTGTAATTATTCGGTGTTGGTGGTATATACAGATTCACAGTTGAGCCTAAATACTACCCTTCATACTGCTGATGCTTCTACTACATGTGGGTTGTTCACACTTTTGCTACTGGGTCCTCACACACCATTATTGAGCATTAGAGGAGGTGTTTGTTGTTTCTCTCTCTTTAACCTTTTCTCCCCCCCCTTTCCCTCTTCTTCTGGTTTCTTGTCACCTCACTCCATTTACTCTTTCCCCTTTCCCTACAGCGAGCTCTTTTCTCAGATGTGGGATCTGGGTTCTGCTTAGAATTTTTGGGGTTGTTGTGCTTGTTTCGCTTTCTCCTTATCCTTCACATTCCCCTAGCTCATTCCTTCATTTTAATCAGGGTTTTACCCTTCTGCAGCTTTGAGTTCCGTCTAGAGAGAGAAAGAGACTGAAGCTATGGCTGGAGGTGGCGGCGGAGCGAAGGCAGATGAGCCACAGCCACACCCACCAAAAGAGCAGCTACCCAACATTTCCTACTGCATTACCAGCCCACCTCCATGGCGTGAGTTCACTCTTCTTGACTCCTTTCACTTTCTTCTGCTCCTTTCCAAATTTGGCAAACTGTGTTGTCGGTGTGGGATCTGGTCTGTTTTGGGGCGATTTTCTTCAGTATCTGTGAATTGGGTTCTTCTTTCCTTTTTATCTTCTGGATATTCCAGTGTCTACCGCCTCCTTAAAAGTTAGGGAGTAGCTTTTTCGAGCTCTTTTTGCGGTATATGCTCTTCTTTTCGAAAGGGCCTGTGCTGTTTCCGTCAAAGATTAAAGGGTTCTCACACACTGCCTGTGCTGAAGATTCTGGTGTTTCCTATGACTAATAAAAGTTGAAGAAACGAGATAATAAAGCGACGGGTGATAAAAAAATGAGCTTCTACTACTTTAGAAATTAATTAATCTCCTGGGTATTTTGTCTCTCTTTTTCCGTCGAGTTCTATGCGTTTGTATGCTTAGTTCGGGAGCACAGTCGGATAGATATGGCGTAAGTGCTAGCAACCGTTGTTTGGGTTGCTATTGTGCATTGACTGAAGTCTATGTAGCGTGTGAAAGGACCAACTGTTCTTTTTTCCCCAGCACGTTTATCTTAATTGACGAAGAAGAACTTGAATGTCTGATTGGAAACTTTGTGGTTGGTTTTGATGCAGCCGAGGCTATCCTACTTGGTTTCCAGCACTACATTGTGATGCTTGGGACTACTGTTCTCATCCCAACTGCCCTTGTCCCTCAAATGGGAGGTGGAAATGTAAGCCCCTGAGGAAAGGGAAAAGGCATTCAATTCAGCATTGACCTGTTTGGTTATGCCCTATCTGTCATAATATTGTGACTGAAGTTGCATTTGGTTTTGTAGAAAGAGAAGGCACAAGTGATTCAGACACTGCTCTTTGTTTCTGGCTTGAACACATTGCTTCAGAGCACGTTCGGCACCAGATTGCCTGCTGTCATTGGAGGCTCTTACACCTTTGTCCCAACTACAATCTCAATCATCCTTGCGGGGCGGTTCAGTGACAATCTAGACCCTGTTGAGGTTTTCCCATTCATCCTTCTCTTCTTGTTGCCCCTGGATTATGGTTTGCAGCGATTCTTCTTTAAGATCATTGACTCAAATTCAATATGTCTGGCATTTGTGCAGAAATTCAAGCGGATTATGCGTGCAATCCAAGGTGCAATGATTGTTGCTTCGACTCTTCAGATTGTTCTGGGATTCAGTGGCCTCTGGCGAAATGTGACAAGGTTAGTTTGAAGCTGGATTAGTTACAATCAAAGTGAATCGTTGTCAAGTCGAGCTTGTCTTCTCCCATAATTGGATTGCAGTTTGTTCCTCACTTGCTGTCACCTTTCACATTTTTATTTTGGTATAAATTCTCTAGGATTTTGATTTGGTAAAATGGCAGAACTATGCAGTTCATTTTGAGTGGGTCCTAATAGTTGCTCCTTTTCTCAGGTTCCTTAGTCCACTTTCTGCTGTTCCATTGGTTAGCCTCGTTGGGTTTGGCTTGTATGAGCTTGGCTTTCCTGGGGTAAGTTGGTTTACATGCAGAGACAGATACATTTAGTGCACTGAGACCTATCATTTAGCAATTTGATCTTAATATTAATAGTGCTTTTCTTGCGTTAAATGCTTAGGTTGCCAAATGCGTTGAGATTGGCCTACCAGAGCTTGTCATATTGCTGTTCGTTTCACAGGTTCGTTTCAGTTGAATTGTCACCTTGCATCTTAGCCCCCCTGGAGTTTGTTTTTGCGTCTGTTAGTTGAAGTAATTGGCTGATACTGTTTTTTGAATTTCACAGTATATGCCTCACGTGATAAAGAAAGGGAAACATGTCTTTGATCGGTTTGCTGTCATATTTGCAATAGTAATTGTCTGGATATATGCACACCTACTAACAGTTGGCGGAGCTTATAAAGGTGCAGCACCAAAGACACAAGTTACTTGCCGCACTGACCGTGCAGGATTGATTGATGCTGCGCCATGGCAAGTTTTCTCAACTTTGAAGTGGCTCTCTGCAGTAGCTTTCAGCCTTTCATTGAACTGAAATAGTTTAAGCAAAATGTTTCTGCATCACATGCATGGTGTTGTTCAAGTTTTATCCCCTTTTAGTTGTCTGCAACTGCCCAGTCATCTCTGCAGCATCTTTAATCAACACCAATCGCTCTGTATCAGAAGAGAACTACTTACCTCACAAATTTACGTCCAAAAGCTTTCAAAGGTTGCATTAGTACTGCTAGAAGATAATAGTGAATTTGAATGGTAGCGAGGGTGTTAGCACAATCCCAGTGCTCTTCCTTGGTTGATCTATAAAGTTTTGGCATTTTGGGGTGAATATCGTCCGCAGACCATGCTAAACTAGTTGCAGTATTTGGAGTTTGATGCTATACATTCCGTGTGTCTTCGTAGGATAAATGTCCTGATTTGAAGGGGAAGCTGGATGTGTGTTCATTTGTTGGAATGAGCTGTCTGACACAATTTTACCTGTATTTGTTTGCTGAGTTGTTTCATACTGGTTTGGTTTGTCGCAATGGAACGATCTCTGACCAGTCAATACTATTGTCGAATCTTAATCAGTTCCTGGAGCTTGCTTACGCATGGTCGGTTGAAGTCTCTTTTGGATATGTTCATAAACTCTTTCTTATTGATGGTCTGCAGGATAAGAGTTCCTTATCCCTTCCAATGGGGAGCACCCTCTTTTGATGCTGGTGAAGCCTTTGCTATGATGATGGCTTCTTTTGTTGCTCTTGTAGAGGTATGTTACCTGTTTCCTTATGCGGTTCTGTTTAACTGCAACTGATGTGCACAAGTTTCCACCCTGCATGATGTTTGATATTGAGGCCTTGAGTTTTATCATAGCATTTTGTTTTTTTTATTTGTAAGTAGTTTATGTTAATAATCCATTTGTGAATAAACAGTCTACTGGTGCCTTCATCGCTGTATCAAGGTATGCTAGTGCAACTCCCATGCCACCTTCGGTACTCAGTCGTGGTGTTGGTTGGCAGGTAAGTGGAATAACTGCCCTTACAGACTATTCACTTCTATTCGTTAGTAGCACGATCTCTATCATATTAGATGTGCATCTTCAACTGTTTTGGAACAAGTTCTATCTCAAGCCCTGTGAAGGAGGATTTTGGGTGTGGTATCTGCTACCTTGAAATCTCAGAGCATACATGGGACCTTTTAATTTCCCAATATTTCCTGACTTAGTGGTGATAGACCAGTGTCCATTGGTGTGGTTGACATGCCCTCCCTGTCGCTAGCCCCCTTCCACTCTAAGGGACTGGGGGAGAAGTGGGACAGAATAGAGTGATGCTCACTGAACTGTAATGCAGAATGCAGAAATTAAATGCTGGATTGTTCAATATTTGTTGGTTTTCCTGCCCCTTATCTTCTTAGAAAATATTCCTTCAGAACTGCCATTGCACTTAAGTATGCTACCGAAGTGAGCACGTCCATTAACATTCATATCGGAACAGTGTCTATGTCCTTATAGCTACTCTAAAGTCTAAACTTTTGAAATGAATATTGAGTTAAAATATCTTAAACATTGCTGCATTTCAGTAATAGAGAAAGGCCATTTAAGATGAGATATCAACTTGCTTTGTCACTTTTTTGTTGCAGGGAGTAGCCATTTTGTTCTCTGGTCTGTTTGGAACTGTGAATGGTTCATCTGTGTCTGTGTAAGCCCTTGACTATGATACTCCAGTTTGTCGAAAACTCTACATATATTTAGGATTACACCTCCATTTACTAATTTGACCGAGTCTATACAGAGAGAATGCCGGTCTTCTAGCATTAACTAGAGTTGGCAGCCGAAGGGTTGTCCAGATATCTGCTGGATTCATGATTTTCTTCTCCATCCTTGGTATGTCTTCGAAGGATCGGTTTATCTTTCTTTTTTGGATTGAAGCTATTTCACATTTGTTAAGGGAGACCTTTGCTTCATTGTGCAGGAAAGTTTGGAGCAGTCTTTGCTTCAATCCCAGCACCTATCATAGCCGCTTTGTACTGCCTCTTCTTTGCTTATGTCGGTATGTGTACAGCATTTTGTGAAACAAGATAAATGTTCCGACTTTGAGGTCTTAGCTCTTTCAAGTATTCTCATACAGAGATAACCCTAATGACTTTGATTCTCTCCATTGTGAATTTACAGGTGCTGGAGGTCTTAGCTTCCTTCAGTTCTGCAATCTCAACAGCTTCAGGACCAAGTTCATACTAGGCTTCTCCATCTTCATTGGCTTGTCCGTGCCACAATACTTCAATGAGTACACTGCAATCAACGGCTATGGCCCAGTTCACACTGGAGCTAGATGGGTAAGTGAAATGCATGCATGGAAACCTTTGTGAAAAGTGAAGTCATGCTGTAAGCTCTGATATTAAAAAAAAACCCTAACTTTCTCCTCTTATCTTATTTTTTACAACAGTTCAACGACATTGTGAATGTTCCATTCTCATCGGAAGCCTTTGTTGCCGGTGTTGTGGCGTACTTCCTGGACACCACACTGCACAAGAAAGACAGTTCTATCAGGAAAGACAGAGGGAAGCACTGGTGGGACAAATTCAAGTCGTTCAAGAGTGACACCAGGAGTGAAGAGTTCTACTCATTGCCCTTCAACCTCAACAAATACTTCCCATCCGTTTGATAGAAAAGCACTTTGGTTGGTTTTGACTTATGAAAAGTATCATCATGGTTCTCATAGCCCCTGATCCTTGGATGGAATGGTCAAAATGTTCTTCCTTTCCTATTGTCTGTCAATGTTAATCGATCGATTGCACGGTTTATATAGCATGATTATTATTAATAGTATAAGATAGTTTGTATTTCCTTTTTACTTACTGGGTTGCCTCAGTCAGCAGAACATTTGTTGCAGAACATTGTTTTTTTGGTTGTAAGTAAATCTGGCCAGGGAATTCACTCCTGGGAAGTAGCAATGAAGAAGGTTCCGAGTCTCCTTTCCAAGTACCCTTTTCCTTATTTCTATTTTACCGTAACATGAACATCTATAATCTTCCTAACTTTAAAGAAAATGACTGGAACTGATCACAAGTGGGACTGCTGGAGGCCAAATTGGATAAATGGTCCCTATTCAGTTTCCATACTCTGTAGGGCACACTCCCAAACAACAGGATGACTAGTCCTGCAGAATTGGTTGGGTTGGGGACAGGGCAACGGGTTGGTAAAGGGTTGAAGGCCAAGTAAGGAGCCCTAAAGTTTGATTTCCAACCACAAGTTTTTGGAATGGTGACAGGGCGGGCAACCAACTTTAGTGGGTGCATTTTGAAAGTTTCTGGTCCTTAGTGATGTGACCACAACCCAATTCATGCATATCTTTTCGAAAACACAAAACCACTCTTTGTAACACAAAAAAGTTTCGGTGCGAATTCGGTAGGAAATTGAAGGAAGTTTTGACCCTCAATCCAGAAATTCATGGGGTTTGAGATAAGAGATGAAAATTTGAATTCATCCTGTTAGATATCATATATCATTCAATGTGATTCATATTGAAGAGGGGCATGGTACTATCTTCATTCTATTTCGCTCCATTCTTGATTCGTTATATGTTATGTGGGTTAATATCGATTTGTATTTTTCTGTTTTCTTTTCCGAATTTGTATTTCACTCAGTGAAGTTTTTTTGTGTGCCAAGTGAAGTTTTGAAATAAATGCAAGACTTTTTTTTTTATTTAACTCATTCTATTATCTCTATTTTTCAATTATGAAGCGTTTTTCTTTGTTTATTATAAAAATTAAATGTATATGTTTATTTTCTTTAAATAACTCGTGGAAATGGATTGATCAGCCCAATTTGTACACATGTGGATATTACCCAACTTGACCACTGTTTGATGCGGGACAAGTACGAGGGTTGAGTTACTAATTCGCCCATTGCCATCACTATTTGAGGTTATGAGATCTTCAATTCTAAGATAGGGTACCAGTTTGTCATTTACATTTACGGGTTAGCATGAGCACTTGCACACGTTGCCAATAGGTTGTGCGATTGTCAAAATATCCCTGAACTACAAGTTCGTTGATCGATAAGAAGAATGCAACATATTATGAGTGTAGGAAATGACTAATTAAAGCAGTAACATATACTATTTTCCTTAAATAATTACTGTGCAGTGTTGATCACCTGTGAATAAGAAAATGAGAAACCAGTCTTAAAAATTAAAGGTTGCCAAGAAAAGAAAGAACCCATTCAAGAGCTGCTTCTATTATTCTTCTTCTGCAAATGAAAGATGCTTTCATATTTTGGATCCTAATCAATTATTCTTCGTAATAAACTAATACTAATAAAAAAATTTAGATATTAAACTGAAAATTAAGAAGATGTTGGCATTTGATATAAAAATGCTGTTTTCTAATAATACTGCTTCTTTCACCAACTTTCTTCATTTGAATATGAACAAAATCGGTCCCGTTTAATAATTTGAATGACATAATCGTCCTTGTAAATCTCCGAGCCAATTCTTTATGCATAGAAATCATAATCCATGAAGACATTCTAATTATACCAAGATTTTAATTCTCAATAAAAGGCTACAAGCCTATAATTGCAATCTTAAACGGGAATACAAGAAATAAACCATTTAGAAGAAGTCGGCGGAATTGGGGTAACAAAAATTGATCAGCAGCACATGGCAACAATATTTGTTGATGGGTTTAGGAATGTTAAAAATAACCATACTTTTGGTAATAGGAGAGGAGTTGTAATATTCAAAACTTTTTCCCGACAAGATACTGTCCGCTTTGGGCCACTACATACGTACGGATTTCGATTTGGGGTGCAATTCAAGGTTACTTCCCATAAGGTCACCCATACTTATTGTACTCTACACTGAGCACGTTTAACTTCGGAGTTCTCACAAGAACTCCTCCATTTCACCCCAAAACGCGTCTTGTCAGTTAAGGTCGGTTTCCTATTTATGAACCATGGATCTCTCCCGTGCTTTGTCGATGTGGGATTTGCCTAAGGTGTTACATACCCCCCCCCCCCCCTTGGGACTCAACATCCTCGTTGAGGTTTGCGCCACTATCGTTCAAGAGGGACATAGAGAGGCTCTGATACCACTTGAAACATCCCGAACCTTTTTCCCGACAAGATACTGTCTGCTTTGGGCCTCTACACCCGCACGAATTTCGACTTGGGGTGCAATTCAATGTGATTTCCAATAAGGTCACCCATCCTTGTTGTATTCCACACTGAGCACGTTTAACTTCCATTTCACCCCAAAACGCGTCTTGTTAGAAGGTCGGTTTCCTACTTATGAACAATGGATCTCTCCCGTGCTTTGTCAATGTGGTATTTTCCTAAAGTGTTACAGGAGTTCTCAAAACAAAAGCAAATCTCAATATGCGTAACCTAAAAAAGAATCATATCAAAATCCAGAAATCATTCTTTGTCAAAAAGGATAAATTGCAAGGTTGGTCACTAAAAGTGCTAAAAAATTCACGTTTGGTCACTAAAAGAATTTTATTTCGTTCGTAATCACTAAAAGTGGTTAACGTTTCACGTTTGGTCACTCTCCTTTCGTTTCGTTAACCTCCGTTAACACCGTTAGTGATTTGCTGACATGGCTCACAGAAGTGCCTTATAAGCTAATTTTAATATGCCACGTCACAAAATCCAATCCACCATATCAGAACCCTAATCCTAACCAAACCAATGCCCCACCCCGCCCTCTCTCTCTTTTATCTAGCTCTGCCTCTCTCTGTGTGAAGCTTCAATTACGCTAGCTCTTTCGAACTCTTTTCTCTGCTTCTCTCTCTCTCTCTCTCTCTCTCTCTCTCTCTCTCTTTGTGAAGCTTTAAATGAGCCATGGATAGCCCACAGTTGGATATTATGCAATGCCGACCGACGGCGTCACCACTTCTTCTCAACCAAATGTCCATCTTCCAACATCAAGCCGTAATTGAACGACATCGCGGTCATGACCTACTTGAAGGAAGAAAAGAATAATGATGGCAGTGAAAATACAGGAAGGTTCTTCCTCTCCAGCTCATCACCAGAAGAGAAGGAAAGGAAATTACTATGGTTGGGATTCCAATTAAAATTTCGATATAAGGAATGGTAAAGGTCCTACCTCTCTCTGCCTCTGATTGAACCCTCCCAGCAACCCTGATTCTCTTTCTCTCTTTCTTTCGCTCAGCAGAAGAGCGATTGCTTCTCTCCGTTTAAACTAATTTAGAGTTGTCGGTTTGATTGTTGTGGGCTAATTTTTTAGTTGCCGCAATCCGGCTGAGAGATAAATCTGGTTATTTTGATCGAGAGGATGGAGAGCAAGGAGGGTCAGCCCATTTGTCAGAGAAGAGGATGTCAATTATTGTAATGGGGAGGAGGGAGAACGGGGAGCCGAAATCGCGGTGGTAAATTAGTGAAGTTCCACAAGGCGCTCAAACGACGGTAATTATCATTGCATGGGGATTCAGAGGTCAAGGGTAGGCTGCTGGTCTGGAGGGCGGATGGGATATGGAGGTCGTTGTTGGTGAGGTTGAAAGTAATGGCGGAGGAGTTGACGGTGCGGGTGGGGGCGAGAGAGACGAGTCTCGGAGATGGGGATAGAGGATGAGAGGGACGACATTGAAGAGGCGGCCAATGTAAAAACGGTCGGGTTGAGTGAGGGGGTTGAATTGGGTTTGGGTTATGTAGTAGGGGTGATGTGGGCGGGTCAGCTCTTATGACGTGGCGAGTTAAATAGGGGGTTGGATTTTGTGACGTGGCATATTAAAATTTGCTGATTAGGCACTTCTGTTAGCCATGTAAGCAAATCACTAACGGTGTTAATGAAAACTAATAAAGAGTGACCAAACGTGAAACGTTAACCACTTTCAGTGATTACGAACGGAATAAAATTCTTTTAGTGACCAAACGTGAATTTTTTGGCACTTTCAGTGACCAACCTTGCAATTTACCCTTGTCAAAAATCTATAAGACCTTGCCTTTAGCTTTGAAGTCGATATCAAAATCCAGAAATTATTTTCTCTCTAAAAAATCTAGGATTAAAACAATATAAATGAAAAAAAATTTCATTGTAAAAAAAAAAATAGTCAAACTTTTGAAAAATAATGGAATACTCAAACCGTTAACTTTCTAACTAATCAAATGTAAATTGACTCTAACGTGGAAAATTATGCTGACGTGGACAATGATGTTGATGTTGCAATTCAATGTGTCTACAAAAATAAGTTAATAGTCAAACCTTTTATTTATCGCAACAACCAAATCTTTTGAAATACAATTTAACAGCCATTTTCTGTCACAATTACCACTAGAGTTAACGAAAACATATTCTAATATAATTTAGAACTATATATATATATATGGTTATGTCTTCGGTGCACTCACTTTTTTGGGTGCATTCAATGCACCCGCCTCATAATCGTCATTCTGAGCAGACGATTCATGTGAAAACGATGTCAATCATCCCTTGTAGTATGATGAACAAGAACCACATGAATTTGTACAAAAATCATTCAAGATTCACTTTAATTTGAATGATTTAGGGTTTAGGAATTTTGGGTTTGGATCAGGGTTTACAATTTGGGATTTTGGGTTTATATTCAAAATTGAATGTTAATAGGTTAGGGTAATGGGTTGATTAGTTGTGATTCTGTGTTATATCATCATATGAGACTAATGCTACCCACTAAATTTCAAAATTTGATGTATTATGACCACTTTTAGAGGTGGGTGCACTGAATGCACCCAAAAAAGTGAGTGCACCGAAGTAGCCACCATATATATATATATTAAAACAATTAACCTAGAAAAAGAAAAGTAGAGGTTCATCCTCTTATGTCTTCTAAGACGATAAATCTTTTACTTTCTTTCTCGTCTAGAATCCTTATTCTCCTCCTCCTCATCCTTCTTTTTTCGGTACAATAATACTCTACTCTTCCTTAAATCATAAAAATCTCTAAGAATACTTTACCCTTTTTTTCCCTTTTCCTGGAACCGAAGTGTCTCGATTTGCCGTATGCGGATACAAATGATGATGTGAGGTACTCCATAATTGAAGAAGATGTTAAGTGTTATGCTCATTGTGTTGTTCTACAACTGGTTGGGAATGACATGAGTGATGATTAGGAAAATCAGAAATGGAGACCGAAGATGGGAAGATCAACGAGCAAATGATATTGATGAGATGGAAACTTAAGATTGAAGAAGAAGCTAGATCTAAACTACAATCGGATGGTAAGTAACAGAGAGACACACTAGAGAGTGTTAGAAGTTAGAAGTTTATGTAGCAATACGTAATCTGGATTCCTATTTAACGCCCTAAATTTTTAAATAAATCGCCCTAAACTGTATTGAATGTACGATTTTGCCCCCAAAAATAAATCGCCCTAAAGTTCACCCAGCGTTAGAGAGCTTCCCTCTCCGTCTGTCTTCCCCGACGAGCTGCCACCTCCCTCTACTCCTGCTCGCCTCGCCCGACGATCAGCGGCGCCGCTCAACTTCGGTGGCCTCCTCTGCTCTGCTCACCTCGCCTGACGATCAGCATCACCGCTCTGCTTCGGTGGCCTTCCTTTTCTCCTTCTTCTTCAAAGGAAAAAACCCTTAATCCCAAATCGAAACTTCTTAATTTAATCACAAATTGATTGAGTTGAGCCTAAGATCATAACGCATGCATAGAAGAAAGAAGGGTCGTGATTGTGAGTCCCAATTTGAGGTGCTTTTGGTTCTTGTTATCGGAATTGGAAGGTGGAATTGTAGGCGAAGTTGTGGGGGGATTCACCGATCTGGGTGTGAGTAGGGAGAGGGAGTAACAGAAGAAAAAAAAGTTCCTCCATGTGTTGATAAATCAATTTTGCAACTGGGTTTTCTTCTCTCGTCTGGAAGGACCATTTCCTTTCAATTAATCAGAAGTTCTTTAGCTCATAATTTCACAGAGCTCTGTATGCATTTTCAGTGAACCCTCATGTGGTGGCCGGCGAGATTATTCATCTAAAGTTAGGTTAGAAATTGGGAGTAGGGACAAATGTGTCTATTTTGTAATTTAGGGCGATAAAATTTAAAATTTTAGGGCGACAAATAGTAACTCCCTATATAATTATGTAGCAGTTTGCTTAATTACGTTTAGAGCCTTAGTTGGATTAGGGCGGCTAGGTATATATGTGTTGACAGCCGCCTCTGCTGAACTCAAGAACTCAATTCCATAAGTTTATACGATTGACTCTGAGAGGTTGGTCCTCTCCGTGGATTAGTCTCAACGATACTCGTTGAGGATACCACGTTAATTCGGTGTTGTTCTTTCAGTTTGAGTTTGGTTTACATGGTATCAGAGCCTCGGGGATTGATCTCGTGGTGTTCAGAGTATAATTCTAGCGCTGCCGGTTTCTGTTTTGGGGTGCCGACATATGCTTTCTCGGCTTCAGGTTAGAGCTCGCTGCAGTCTTAGTTCCAGGTCTGCACGTGTTTCTTTTTTTGGGTTAATTTCTCGGCTTGGATTGTTTTGGTCTTTGGTGGAGTTTCTGGTCGTCGCTTCTAGGGCTGCGCCGACTTCAGCTTTGCGGTTCCGTCTTCCACCTTTGGGATTTTCACTTGGCCATTATTTGGATTTTGGCTTCTCTAGTTTGGGGTGGATCGTGGCTTTTCTTATTATTGGATTTTGGCTTCTCTGGTTTGGGGCAGGATTTGGCTTTTCTTGTGTTGCTTGTCAGGCTCACTTTTGAGGTTTTGGTTTGGCTTTATTGCTTCTGTTCGTGGGTTTCTCTTGGCGGGTTCTTCATTTGGGTTGTGCATCTCTTCTTGTCGGCTGCAATTATGGATGCTTCTCGTCTTGATGGAATTTCAGTTCGCTTTGATGGGAAAAATTATTCTCTTTGGGAATTTCAATTCTGTGTGGTCGTTCAGCGGCGTCGTCTTCTTCCCATCCTCGATGGGTCTCTTCCTGAACCCGCTGCCACTGCGTCGGACAAAGAGAAGAATGACTGGGCTGTCCAGAATGCTCAGGTTATGGCGGCTATTCTTGGGTCGGTTGAGCCTCCTATTGCTCTCAGCTTGCGTGGGTTCACCACTGCTCACGCGATGTGGCGTCATCTTGTCGACCTGCACTCTCAGACCACTGCGTCTCGCAAGTTCGAGCTTGAACTTGATATAGCCAAGTTGCATCAAGGTGATTTAGATGTTCGCGCGTATTATCAGGCTGCTGTCACATTGTGGACTGAGCATGACATGCTCACTGCATCCTTGGTCTCCTCTGCAGCCTCGGCTGAGGTGCTTCGTGAGCGCTCCAGCTCTCGTCTCATGCATTTTCTCATGAAGTTTCGTCCAGAGTATGAGGGTATTCGTGCTTCTCTTCTTCATCGCAATGTTACTAAGGTGGAGGATGTCCTGGGTGAACTTGTTCGTGAAGAATCTCGGTTGCGTAGTCAGGCTAAGATAGATTTCCAGGCAGCGGATTCCTCTCCTGCTGCGTTTGTGGCTGGTAAGGCATCTTGGCCTCCCTTGATGCTTCCGCCTTTGCTGTTGGTTCTGCGCGTCCTCGTTTTCAGCGTACCACTAGTGGTGAGGTTATTTGTTATTATTGCAAAGAACCGGGTCATGTTCAGCTTCATTGTCCGAAGAGGAATGCTTGCAACTACTGCAAGGCAGCTGGCCATAAGATTGGTGCGTGTCCTATCCTGGCTAAACGAGGGCGTGCACGTCCTTCTTCGGGCTCTACTTCAAAAGGTCCGACTACGGGTCCGGTCTATGCGGCTGCTCCTGTTCAGTCGAATGCGCTCCCTCTTACTCAGGATGCTATTCGCCAGATGCTTCAAGAGGTTGTTCGGGATGCTCTCCCCTCGGCATTAGGATCTGTTTTTACTGTGGGTATGCCATCTCACCCTTCTCCCACTTGGCACCTTGACTCTGCAGCTTTTAATCATATGACCAGTTCTCGATCTTGCTTTAGTCAACTTCGGCCTTCTAGTTCTATACAATTACAGGTTGCTGACGGTACTCGGTTACCAGCACAAGGCATTGGAGTTGCTTGTGGTCCTGGTTTATCTCTTCCGGACACCCTTTATGTGCCTCGTTTAGTGCCAAATCTTGTCTCTGTCGGTCAGTTAGCAGAGAATGGGTGTCGTATTATCTTTGATTCTACTGGTTGCGTCGTGCAGGACAGGAGAACGGGGAAGGAGATAGGCCAAGGGACTAGACGGGGGCGTGTGTACACTCTCGATGCCTATGATGGATTGAATGGCGACGTGGGTGTGCGTGCTGGTGTGGAGAAGGAGCCAGCCACGGTGGATCGAGATTTGGAGGGCATTTCTACTTCTGTTGGTTATTCTGTTAAGTTTTCAAACTGGGATTTGTGGCATCGTCGTTTGGGTCATCCCCATTCTGCGAGATTGATTGAGATGTTTAAGAATAAGTTGTTATCTGGTACTTTTGTTTCTGATTCAGACAGTACTTGCACTCATTGTTTGGAAGCTAAGTTATCTCAACAATCTTTCAGTTCTAGTACTACAGTTTATTCAGATCCATTTGACTTAGTTCACACAGATCTTTGGGGGCCCTCTCCTGTTAACTCTCGCATGGGATTTCGATATTTTGCTTTGTTTATCGATCATGCGACGCGCTTTGCCTGGGTTTACTTTCTTCGTCAGAAGTTAGACTTGCTTGTTGTGGCTAAGGAGTTTATTCAAATGTTCCGGACACAGTTTGGGAAAGTGATCAAAGTTCTTTGCTCTGATCCAGGTGGGGAATTCTCGTCTGGACCGCTACAAGAAGTCTTTAAAGACCATGGAATTTTACCGCAACAATCATGTCCTGGCGTTTCGCAGCAGAATGGTCTGGTGGAGCGTAAACATCGACATGTTTTAGAGTTGACTCGGGCAATTCTTTTCCAGTCCAGTATCCCTTCTGGTTTTTGGGTTGAGGCGGTTCATACGATTGTATATCTGATAAATCGTCAACCTACCCCGATCCTTTCTCATCGCAGTCCGTATGAGCTTCTCTATTCGCGTCAGCCAGATTATACGTCACTTCGAGTGTTTGGCTGCGTTTGCTATGTACTTCTCCCTAGACGGGAGCGTCATAAGCTTGCTCCCAAAGCTATCAAGTGTGTCTTTGTGGGATACAGTGACAAACACAAAGGATATGTTTGCTATGATGTGGTAAACAGGAGGATTAGAATATCCTGTCATGTGGCATTTTTGGAGCATCTATCATATTCCCTGTTCAGGATAGACTCGATCGTCAGGACTTGGACTTTCTTCGGCCGCAATTAGCTTTCTTTGATCCGCCTCCTGCTCCTCCTGATGAGGGCCCTTCAGATTCTGAGCGAGGGTCTATGTCGATGGACATCGGGCTTTCCCTCTCCTCTTCTGATTCATCCTCATCGTCACCAGCTCCTCCTCACACTCCCTCGTCGAGCTACTCTAGCACAGGATCCTCAGCCTCCTCTGATTCCTCCCCTTCATCCTCTTTGGCCATCACAGACTCTCCCTCTCCGGTGACCCTTGCTGAACCCATTCCTCTTCGTCGCTCCTTGCGTGCCACCAAGGGGCAACCTCCGCCTCGCATGTCCGATTTTGTGGCTTTCTCCACAACTCCGATTCCTGTTCCTGCTACTTACAAACAAGCTCACGCTCATGCTCAGTGGGATGCAGCAATGGCAGTTGAAACACAAGCTCTGGAAGCAAATTATACTTGGGATGTGGTGCCTAGGCCAAAAGATCATCCGGTTATTGGATCAAAATGGGTGTATGCTATCAAAATGCACCCAGATGGGTCAGTTGAGCGGTTTAAGGCACGGGTTGTAGCTTAGGGTTTCAGACAGGAGTTCGACATTGATTATAGTGAAACTTTCGCCCCGGTCGCAAAAATGCAGACCGTTCAGACACTTCTTGCAGTTGCAGCCATGAAGGGCTGGGAGTTGAAGCAGTTGGACGTTAAAAATGCCTTCTTGCATGGTGACTTAAAAGAGACCATTTATATGGAGTGTCCTCCTGGCTACAACAATGGTGATAAGTCTAAGGTATGTCTTTTGCGTAGGTCACTTTATGGGTTAAAACAGGCTCCGCGTGCATGGTTTGAAAAATTCCATAACACTATTCTGCAGGCTGGTTTGAAGCAGAGCGACAGTGATCCATCTTTGTTTCTTCGTCAGACGTCTCACGGTTTGACTGTGCTGTTAATTTATGTTGATGACATGGTCATTAGTGGGGATGATACTCTTGGAATTCAGTCTCTTACACAGGTTCTTCGAGATGCTTTTAATCTGAAGGAACTTGGTGACTTGTCGTATTTTCTGGGCTTAGAAGTTCATAGCTCTCAGGCGGGGCTATTCATTTCACAACAAAAATATATTGTCGATTTACTGGAGACAGCTCAGATGGACACTTGCCAGTCGTGTGCCACACCTATGGAACAAAGTATGAAGCTCTGCAATGATGATGGGGATCTGTTGGATGATGGTTCACTATATCGCAGTATAGTAGGAAGCCTCATATACTTGACTCACACGCGTCCGGATATTGCTTATGCTGTACAGGTAGTTAGTCAATTCATGGCTGCTCCTCGTTCTTCTCACCTAGTTGCTGTTATGCGCATACTGCGTTACCTACGGGGTATGCAGGATGTGGGACTATTCTATCCTGCTGAAGGAGATTCAGTGCTTGAAGCATATGCCGATGCTGATTTTGCTGGCTACTTGGATACCCGCAGATCTACCTCCGGTTGGTGTGTGAAAATTGGATCCTCTTTCATCTCTTGGCGGTGCAAAAAGCAGGAACGGGTGTCTAAATCATCGACAGAGGCAGAATACAGATCAATGTCTGAAGTCACGTCTGAACTCGTCTGGCTTCATCGCCTGCTTTCTGAGCTTGGAATGGTTTGTCCGTCTCCTATGCGTCTTTATGCAGATAATACCAGTGCTATTAAGATTGCCACCAATCCAGTTCCCCATGATCGTTCGAAGCATATTGAAGTTCATGTTCACTACATTCGTCAGTTGGTTGAGGAAGGGCGTCTTGCATTATCGTACATCACTTCTGAAGATCAGACTGCTGATCTCCTAAGGCTGTTGCTACATCACGTCATTGGTTTCTAGCATACAAATTGATGTTGCGTAAGCACCATCAATTTGAGGGAGGATGTTAGAAGTTAGAAGTTTATGTAGCAATATGTAATTATGTAACAGTTTGCTTAATTACGTTTAGAGCCTTAGTTGGATTAGGGCGGCTAGGTATATATGTGTTGACAGCCGCCTCTGCTGATCTCAAGAACTCAATTCCATAAGCTTATACGATTGACTCTGAGAGGTTGGTCCTCTCCGTGGATTAGTCTCAACAATACTCGTTGAGGATACCACGTTAATTCGGTGTTGTTCTTTCAGTTTGAGTTTGGTTTACAGAGAGAGGATCCTTTTGGAATGGATATGGAACCCTAAGGCGACCATCTTGAACTAGAGCAAGCGAATGAGAGACGAAGAGCGGAGAGTAAACCTGAAAATACTGAGAGCAAGGAAATGAGAGACGAAGAACAACGAGTGAGCCTAGAAATTGTGTTTGACTTGTTATCTACAATACCCGGTATTTAAAATACCAAATGGTGTGATGCATCTTTATTTTTCATTACTCTATATATATATTCCCTTCTGTGGTACCCCGGGTGAAATCTAGGGTACCGCATACCTTGAGTATGGAAATGCTATATAGACCTTGAATTAGTAGGATTTTTGGACCTGATACTATACCCTAACCCTTAATGAGTGAACCCTAGTTCCTAATTATCTAAATTATAAACTCCAAACCCTAAGATGGTGCATTCATTTTTGGCCTTTATTTGGATGATTCATAACCGTCGATTATTATTCTAATTAAATTGATCTTAGAGTATTAGATTTAGAGAACTAAGACCTAGATTTTGATACTTAAGGGTTAGAATATAGTATTATGTCCGAAAGATCAGTCAATTCATGGTCTGAATAGCGTTTTCATACTCAGGGTATGTTGTACCCTGGATTTCACCATGGGTACCATAGAACTGCCTATATATATAAATAATGCTTACGTAGATGGTTTTTTTTTCAATTCCTTTAATATATATATATATATATACGTAAGCATTAAAAATCCTTCCCGTGATTTCCACTATTATAGGTTTTCGTTTCTCTTTTTAATTTTTTAAAAAATAATTCTATTATTTTTTATTAGAATCGGTTACTCAGTTTAATTCATTAAATACAATTATAAGTTTCCACTATTATTTTTTTAACTAGATTAGGGCCCGGCCTCTTGGCCGAGAGAGTTTGGTTTTCATGTGTATGTGTAGTAAACATTGAGGTATATATTTTTTTATGGTTCGTGTTGTTGGGGATTGAAGTAACTATTTAATTTGGTAAGTTCTCCATGAATAATATAGGAAAGTATTTAATGTATTTGACTAATGAAGTTTAAAAAATAAAAAACAACATCTAACTACACTAACTTAAATACATATTTTAAAACAAAGTCATATCTATATAAAAATGTATGAGAAGAACAATGATAAGAGTTATTTTACATCACATATACATAATCAATCTTCAGTATACGATAATTTTTTTTGCCTTTTCCATTAACTTTCGTGTATTCAATGATATAATGAAACAAAGCATATGTTTAGAGTGTCCTTAAAAAGAAACAAACTAACTGACACAGTCATGGTTCCATTGACTTTTGTGTATTCAATGATATAATGAAACAAAGCATGCAGATGTCGAGCCGACAAGTTCAACAAATAGAGCCACACATAAAAAGCTAAATCAAAGTGAAAAGAAGGCAAAAACTAAAAGCAACATACCTAACATTTTGGGGAAAATCCACAACAATAAAAGTCATTGTATGAAAAATTGATAATGATTTGAATACTTGTGATATCTGAGTAGTGAAAGTTAATAAAAGTCATTGTAGCTCTTACCCAAGTTAGAAAGACTTTGATTTAATGGCAAGTAAACAATGATATGTAGTGTTTAAGAGGGAAGATGAGACCTTACATTGTTTATTAATATGCATCTTAGTTTCATAAATTTTACATCATTAAAAATTTATGTGTTGAATAGAAACCCATCCGAGTTTGGAGCCATTGTAAAATGTATGTCATGAAGCAAATGAAAAGTCTCAAACATCCACATGCTTGAAAAATAAATCTACATTATCAAACATAAAATCA